GTTAGCGAGCAGGCAATCTGCTGGGGCGGCGCTTCCCAGGGGGTCGGGAAGAAGGGGGAGGCCCTGGCCATCGGTGGGCGGCGCAATGGCCTCGGGATTAGTGCCCAAAATGTCGGTGCTGGTGATCAGGGCACCCGCGTTGGCAGCCAGCGCTTCAGCGATAAGCACCTCTGGGTGGCTCTTGGCTTTGTGGGCCACGACGCTGTCCTTCTTCTCGAACTTCTTGCCACAAATGTTGCAGGAGAACTGGTAGAAGGAGTCCGCGTCATGCTTCTTCATGTGCCAGTTCAGGGAAGCCTTCTGCCGGCAGGTGAACCCACAGATCTCACACCTAGGGAAGGGGAGAAGGCAGAGGTCACAACAGGGCGGCATCGGCACGCGCTCGTAGGTGGCGTTAGCAAGGAGGCGGCCCAAGAAAACAGCAAGGCTCGCTAAAACGGCACGTCACCGTAGCTCCAGCTCTTCCAGTTACGTTTGCAGAGGGCTTTATTCATGCTCCTCAGATCTCTCCCGAGACACTGCCTCAAGGAGCAAGTGAAACCACTAGTGGCAGGTTCAAACGCTCCTACGAGCGTGTGTTCGGAGAGAGCTGGGACTCCGAGAACAGGTTCCAGCCCTGTCTTCAGAGCCGCCCCTGCTCCCGACGCAGTCCAAGAACGGGCGTATCCATGGGTCAGCTCAGAGGAGGAGAGAAAGACACAGGCAGAGGTACTCACTGCAAGGGCTTCTCGCCTGTATGGATCATCCGGTGCACTGCCAAGTTATGAGAACTCTTGAATGCCCGGGCACAGTATTCACAGATATAATCCCTTTGATCTGAAAGGCAACACCGGTCTGAGCATTACCTGCCTGCAGACCCGCTCCCTCTCCCAGCCCTCCCGCACCGTCGGTAAAGCTACCCACAAAGCTAGAACCAGAAGCTCCCCCAGAACCAGAGACACTGGGGGGCCAGCAGACACAGTAAAGGACGCGGTGCCCCTCAAGACACCAGAGCAGTCGATCCGGAGAGTTAAGAGGCAATTTGGAGCCAACTATCCTTTCTGACCAATACTGAAGGACCAGCAAACTAAGACAAAGCTTGGCTTGTTCCATCCCTCTATAGGGCCCCTGAACGATACTTGCCAAAGGGTTAACAAAAACCTCTACAGCCTATTCCACTCTTTACCTTAAAACACGGTAATCCAGAACAGAGTAATATGTGGTGCTGCTGCAAAGCAATACCACCTGCCTCAGCTTCACCCTCCCCTGAAGACCTGGAGGCTTCTCAATTTTTCCTCCGCCTCTCCATTCACTGACCAGATGAGGAGTTTGGATTTAGGCCCCACCTCCCCGTACCTGTGTGGTGTTTGGCATGCCGCAGGAGCTGCTTCTGGAGCCGGAAAAGCCGACCACAGGAGGGATGGGGACACACGTATTTCTTCTTCAGCAAGTGCTGATACTTTATGTGATGCTGAAAAAGGAACGCAAAAGGTTGCAAACTCTCTCTTTACCTGGCGAAGATATACCGATCACAGATGGCATCTCAGCAGGCCACCAGACTCTGGTCACTGACAAGACACCCTCATAGCACAGACACAAAGGCTTGGACCTTCAGCAATAAAAGCAAGCCAAACAAACGCGGGCATCTGGCAACAGGGCAGATGCAAAGCCACGCTTGGTCACAACTCGCCATGATTCATGATGTCTATCAAAAAGGCAGGGTTAGAAAGGCGCCAGCGAAAGATTAGCTGCCTGTTGTAAACGGCAAACGTGCCTTTCAAGAAGCGGAAAAAAATCTCAACCAACCTGCAGGTAACGTGGGTGAGCCAAGACTGTGCCGCAGCCTTCCATCTCACAGCGGACATACTGTATTGGAGGCTTCTTCCTAAGAAGTCGGGAAGAAAATAGGCAGAGCGCTCAGCTGGCACGCCTGAAGCCAGGGCAGCAGTAAGACAAACGACCACTGAGCGCAGCTCAGCAGTGACGTGAGAGCAAGGGATTGCTGCTCCAGTATTCCCACGTGGGTGGTGCTGACAGGGACCCCTCTGCTCCCAGCCCTGCTTGAGGGCTCTCACCAGAGCTGAGAAAACCCCAGGAGAGACGGAGCTCCCAGCTGCTTCCCCCGGCTGCTGCCCAGCTAGGCATCAACCGAGAAAGGGGGGGGGGGGGGGGGGGGAAAAGAGGTTCAGTTGGAAGAAACTAAACCACATCCTTGGGAGCGAGGGCAGGGCAAGGAGGGAAGAAAAAGCAGTAGCATGCCTTGACCTCCCTTTAAAAGCAGATTTCTACATCGTGCAAAAGAGATGGCTTTGAGACAGTTAATATCCCAGCGTAGGACACAAAGGAAGCAGGTCTTCAGAGCAGAAACGAGTAGAGGGCATCACTTACCTCCTCTTGGGCAGCCTTGGGCTCTTGTCATCCTTTCTCCTCCTTCCTCTCCTGCGACAGGGTTACAGAAACAGAATTGAAAGAGGCTTCTTGACATAGGTACCAGGCCGAGTTGAAAAACAAAAGCATGCTCTGCTGAGCAGAGCGTTGCTTACAGGAAAATATTGCCAGTTTAAAGCAAAAGAAAGCACAAGCGGAGGGATGCGTGTAGGGGGAGAATAAGTTTTCCTCACTATCACAATGGATTTTGAAGTAGGTCTTACATGAACGAGCTCAGCCAACCAGACCCTAAAATAATACAACATCCAGAGACTGTGCTAGAGAGCCGTGCTATAAGAAATACTAAAGAACCGTCGCAGACTTTTAGGCTGAAAAATAACACTGCGCCCAGCAGGTCAGAATTAAACAACCACCTGCTCTGGATCAAAATGCCAGAAGAGTTTCTAGGGTAAAGCTCTTGAAGTAAAAGGGCAGGTTCCCTAAGGGAGGCAAGCAGCCAGGCCTTGATGCGAGTTGTCTCTACGGGTGCTGAGCACTACATCGCTCCCCACCTTTCTGATCCGTAGGTCGCACTTCTTCCTACTTAACTTTTGGTGACGTGCCACAGACCTCAAACCACCCTGCCTCTGCCAACCTAGCTGGGCTGTGGCTGCGTGACCAGCCACTAGGTCTAGCACGCAGCATATTTTTGAACGTCATTGCCTTAGAGGCATTCATCCAAACACTTTTCAGTCCATCGTTCGCAATTGTGCAAACGACGGTAAACAGGTACCAGACGACCACAAGCCCAACAGACTGCCATTAAAAATTACCAACTCTTCTGCCACAATGGAGCGAGGAACAGCTATTATAAAACCCCTCAACCATGCATCATACACTTTGCATTCTTCTCTTAAACCTGCAACTGTCCAAACAATTTGTGATCTTGTGATAACATTCAGCCTTTTCCAGGCTGCATATCAGCACAGCAGACTCTGCCCTTACAAGTTACTGCTGCAGACGGCTTGCAAGCTAATGCTTCATTACCTGCAAGGTCTAGAAAAAAAAAATCAATCAAGTGCAACCTGGATGCAGATTCAGAGGAAGGCAAGGCTTTTAAGACATAAACGCTTCGTGTGGTTAGCTCACACAATCCTTCCTACTTCCTAATGCATTTTTTCCTAAACATATAATTTTGCCAACCTAGTTGGGAACCGATGGTGCCCTCTTATTTCCCTCTGCTCTGCTGAGTAATGTGTTGTACCCTGTGCAAAATACCAGTCTGCGGCTGGGAAGAACTGGATTAAATGATCCAGAAGCTGTTTTTCAGTCCTCTGAATTAACTGCAGTAGCTCATGCACCTGTCAAAACAAAATCTTTTGGCTCTATCTGAGCAGACAGACCCGTGTTTACATGTAAAAACGTCACCCTCCTGAGCAACAGCTCTGCCCAGAACAGCGCGCCTGCTTGATCGCATTGCTGCGCCGAGACGTTTACAGCAGAGATAAAGTCTTTCCTAGATTGCACTGAGGCATCTTTATTGATAGCAAGGCCACAACAGTAACAAGCTGAGCAGGCACTCAAAATTCAAGTCCAGACGCAGGGGTTTTGTTAGGCGCAAAAGCAGCATCTGATCCAAACAACAGAACATTAAGCCCCAGAAAGCTGTTTTTCATGGGGGGGGTGGAGGGGGGGGGTGGAATCTCAAAGTATCTGTGCCCTTAGGTCTCCGATATAAGTCTGCCCTGCTGCAGCTTGGGAACAGCGTGAGAACATCAGCCTTAAAGGCTGCCAAACACCGCAGGCCAGCAGAGGGAGCCCCATTTGTTTTCATTTCTCACAGAGAACCACAAAAACTGCTTTTTCACACTATCCCAAAGAAAGGCTTTCACACAGGCGTATCAATCCCATCTACCCCAGTTGCTAGGAGAAGAGCTTCAGCGTCCAATCCAAGGGACGATACACCCAGAGATTTTGAGGCTCCACCCACAATACCACGGCAGCGCAAGGTAGCAAACATTTGTTCTTTTTATTTCTCCAAAAGGAGCCAGAGCACGGCTATTCTTTCCCCAGCTCTAGTATGTCAGTCCCAAAGGTAAGAAAGGGACACGTCCCCCGCGACGCGTACAAAGCGCTCCCACGTCTGCCTCTAGGTGCACAACAGAAGAGATTTGTTTCGCAGACGTACGGAGCAGTTCAGCTTCTACTAAATGAAAACACCACTCCCTTTACGTAGGCGAGACAGCAGAAAGCAGGACTCGGAACAAGAGGGTCTCCCCTATTATCATTCTGGCGTAGAAGGGCAAAAAAGCCGCTCTCCTACTTAAAGTGCCGCGGGAAAGCCATAGGGAAACCTACAAAACACATACACCGAAACGCATACTTGCGGAGTTTTACTCACTTCCTCGGCGGTTCTTCATCTTCCTGAAACTCACTTTCTTCTTTCACTTCTACCTTAATCTCTTTCTGCTTCTCTTTTTCCTCCTTGCCCTTGCTGGCTTTTCTCCTTTGCTTCGGGGCTTCCCTGCAAAGGTACAAACACAACGTATTCCAACACTGAGCAGGAATCTCCAGGCCACCCGTACCTACGCTGCAACACCCCCTGCTCTCTCTCCCCTCCTCTTAGTCTCTTTTAAACACCTCCGGCTTCCTGTGCAGGATTCTTCAACACAATGGTAGCGCAAAGGACTTCTCCTGCCCTCCTCTGCTTTTTTTTTTTTTTTTTTAAAAAACAAAGAATCAAGCAAAAACTGAATAGGAGCTCATAGCTGCTTATTAGGTCCCATTTCTAATGGCGAGTACGAACAAGGATTAAAGGAAGAACCTGGCAGCCAGAAGGAGTCTAAAGGCCTAAATCCATCAGAGGAAAAGTATCCTGTTAGCTGTAGGCACTGGGACAACACTATGCTCAATGGGAACTATTCCACCTTAGCAACTAGCTTGGGTTCTTTGGGTCACGTTAAGCTAGTTCAACTAAGTTACCGCAATTGTTTTGGCCGAAAAGCCCAGTAAGTAACATAATCGAGTGTATACTTTTCTAAGTGAGGCTTGTAGGTTTCATCTCTGGGGTCATCTTTGAAGGGAACTTCTTCCTCACTGATGAGCATCTCCTCCTCGTCATCACTGCCAGCAGAAAAGGAGAACGGACAAGTTTAGCAGCAACAGCTTAAGCACTACTCCAAGAACGTGCACGCACCATCTCCCAGGATGGGAAAGACACTATTACACAGAACTTTCTCCTGACATCTGCAGTCCATCTTGCAATCCAGACTAGAGACAGAAAGGCCCAGGGCCGAAGGAGAACAGAACTACTATCCTTCCCACAGAACCTTTCACAGGAGGGTTCCCCCCTCCCCCCCAATAAAAAACAAAACCCAAAACCAAAAAACACCTCAAGCCCGTTATTTTCCCCTTCCTGAAACACTTCATATGAAGGAATACCACAAAATAAGAAAATAAGAGCTTCCTACCTGATTCCAGCTGGAGACTGATGCTCTTCTGTGACCTCTGAAAGGAAAAGTCACCATTAGGTTTCAATCTGTGTTCGCTGCAGTGAGCTCATCTGCCTCAAGATACCTCCGCCGACATTCAGCGCCAGGAGTGCTGGTGGCAGAAGGTACTCATGACCAAGAAGCACCATGCCTGTACCAGCCACAGTCAGCATACAGCTCACAAAGTTATGCCCTCGTCCAGCTCCCTCCCCCCGGACGGCACCTTCAAAGACTCCCAAGACCTGACTATCTCCAGGCACCGCCATGCCAGGGGCTTGCCACGTACCGTATTCAAGCTGGTCCGTGTTTGGTTCCGACTTGCAGACGAGCTGCAGGGAACCAGTCTTGGATCTGGAGGCACGCGAATTCTCGGTTTCACGCCGGCGGGCAGCAGTGGCCGATCTGCTACTGCGCCAGCTTCTGCTGGGCCTGGCCGTGCTGACGAGCGAGCCGTGGCTGAGAACACCAGAGACTTCCTCCTCTTCCTTCTCCTCTTTGGGATCTGAAACACCCGTTGTAATCTCATTAATAGTAATAAGCATAAATCCCACCACTAATTCACACTCCCCTCTGCTGAATGCCGTTGAATAGCGGGACTTCCCTGTCAACTCCGACAAGGGAGACCGCTACCTATCGCAATTTTGAAGCGTAACGCTGCCAAGTGAGACAGGACACATCCCAGGGCCTTACCTCAGCAAACTTCATTTAAAAGGCTCATCACGTTCCCTATCTAACTAAAGAGGCAAACATTTAAAAACAGCTTACGTTTTCTCTGATAAAGGCTTATAAGATTATTTGCTGGCTTTGATCTCCCGTAAGTGCTACAAGACAGACGCTCACGACAAACCTTCCTAACTGTTTTAGGAAAGACCAGCTTCCAAGTCGGCCCGCATCAGAAGTCACGGTGGGAGAACCTCCCAAACACAAATCTGATCAAAAACGTACACCTGGTAACAATCCTGAGGAATCCGAGACGGATGCTTCTGGGACCATGCTAAAGCAAAAAGCATCACAAGCACCGTCAGCCTGAGGTGTTTTCACTCATTTTTAGCTTCTACAGGTGGTTTTCTTTTTGGCTGATGGCTGATCTCCAGATACGTTTTGGCAAGATAACAATACTGGCTAAAATGTCTATGTGAGCAAGTTCATGCTCTAAAAATTAAAAATTTCCACGTATAGTTCACTTGATCCCTTTTTTTTTTTTGTGCTTGCCGTAACCACTGGCCCGTAACGAACCCAAGTATCTTTTGATATTTCACAAATCCTGACGCGCTAAAGAAATTAATTCCAAATAGCTGTCCGCGCTCACTACTCCAGTTTGGCATTGCTTTAGCGCTGAAAGCCAGTACCCGACGGGGCCCGTGTTCTTCCTCGCCTAAGCTCCGACCCACCCCGTTTTACTTGCATCCATTTACATTACCATCTAGTTCCAGGTGGGATTCAGTTGCCTAAGCATCGGCAGATAGTAGAGCTGAGATGCCAGGCAGTGCCCTACGGATCTGCTGGCAAGCTCTGGGCAGAGTCCTCTAAGGATGGGCTGGGAAGGCCCCGGGATTCCCGGCGGAAAGCAAACTGCACGTCCTGAGCTAGCAGCGTGCCTTGGCAGCGAGGGGGCCAACAGCATCCGCAGGAGCGCAGCCAGGACGTGGAGGGACGAGGTTATCCCCCTTTATCCGGCCCTCTTTGAGGCCGCGTTTGGGTACCCCCTCCAGTTTTGGCCTCCCACGACAAGAAGGGTGTCAAACTTGAGCAAGTCTAGCAGGGGTCACCACCAAGACGGCCGGGGGTTGAAGCACGCAACCTTTCGCTTTTAGCGCGTTGTTTGTTTTGCGTCCCTCCTTCCCCAAGCCCTGATTAACAAAGCCGGAATAACCCCACGTTTGGCTGAAAAACCTGCCCAGACTACAGGATATCAGGCATAGCAAGTTCATCGTGAAACAGCAACCCAGTTTGATGCCTTACACGTATAAAGCCAGCCTCATCACGAGAGCCTGAACTGTGACTTGTTGGCTTCCCGGTGTTGCAGATCGTAACGCAAACTACGATTGCTTTACTTTTTTAATGCTAATTGTGAATGTTCTCATTTTCTGAGCGCTCAGTCAAAGCCTCCAAACGCGTTCTGGGACCGTTCTCTAGAAATTTCCCCAACCGCTGCCGCTCTACCAGCGTCAACGCGTACTGCTGCTCCTGAAAAGCCTCTAGGCCTTTGGAAGATCAGGCGTTAAGGCCGACCTCTTAGCAAGAGGTAGTATTTTAAAGACTAAACATACAGCAGAGTCGAGAAGGGCCTCCCTCAGAATACGTTTCTACAAAGTACACCCAAGGCACCACTAACTTTGCAATTTTGCTCCGTTTCTCTGAAGCGGAGGCGTTTAACAAGCCTTGCCACGTGACGCCTCTTTTTCACTTTTTCCCTCTACTTCAGGACGCGTCCAACAGCTTCGCCGCTTTTTTCGCGTGCTGCGAATACCTCTGCGCCGCCGCCAAGAAAATACAGTTAGGAGACGCATCAAATATTCATTTTACAACGAAACTCGTAAAGTAGCCCAGAGCTATAGTTTAAAACCATTGCAATCCTAGACTCTACCTGCAGCGGACACAGGCCCGACCCCCTGCGCGAGGGTCAGGGCTGCGCCAGGCAAGCTACACCCGCAAAGCATTGGGGCGCAGTGGCCAGTGAAACCATAGCGTTCCCCAAAACTTTCCCCTCAGACCGCAAAACAAGATTTATTTTAAAATCCCGGGATTTAACCCCTCTCCATAGGGAGCCACGCTGCACAGGCGGCAGGATTTTGCTAACAGCACAAAGCAGCACGGGAAACAAGCTGCATAAACGCGTTTGCAGACTATCTGCAAACAAGAAGGATTCTGCTCGAATCTCCCGAGACTGAAAGGTAAGAAACAAACCTTTCCATTCGAGAGTCTCTACTCAATTCTGCATTTAAAACTGCACGCGCTCGTCAACACCACTAGCTCTGCCTAGCAGCAATTTTGGCAGAAGGTTCCTGTCCTCCCAGAAGACACCCGGAAAACGGATTATAGGCCAACATCCTGTTATTTCAATCGTACGCGTCAACAGCGGCGACAGACACCAGGTCATAGGGACTCAGACCTCCCGGAGGAGGACGAAAGAACACATGACATGCAAGGACAGACATCAAGGCATCCCCGGCGAGAGGCAAAGAGGAAAGCATCAAGCGCTTCCTTCTCAGATCAGCTGCTGCCGAACAAACGGCACGCTCTCCTTTTGGCAGTGGTCCGCTGGCCAGTCGGCGTATGTAACCTTACATCGAGCCTCCGCGCTGCCGTCTTTCGCCTGAAGGACGTTTCACAGGGGGCAACGGGAGCTACGACTTCGCGGACCAAGAAACACCCGCACGCTCGCTCTCCTCTGCGACTCTCTGATACCGACCTTCAGAATGACCTGCCTCACTCCCTAGCCTCCGCAGGGGCTACGCTCAGGAGCTGGGTGGGCGCCTGCATCTTTACAGGAAATCAGTCGAGAGAGATGGGATAAATCCGGTTTTTTCAGGTCCTACCAATCCTTCTGATCTTCCGGCTCTCCGGATTTTCCCTACGTTTAACTCTCCCTTAACCAAGTTACTTACTGGTAAACAGCTTTCGTTCTGAGCTACTTTTGCCACTCTGCCGATCCTTCCCGGCGGCCTTTAAACGAAACGCCTCACTGTCCAGCGCAGAAAACCTTCACAGATCAGGGTGAAGGAGTTGCCTTAATACAACAAGCAACAAGTATCCTTTAAGATTAAACTTGGCAAAGAAAATGCCAGTCAGGAGGGGAAAAAAGACGAAACCCTGAGAGGCATCTAGCTACAAAGTTGTCACGAATAGGTTTGGAGAACGGAGAGAGAAGACTCTGGAGGCTGTTCTGCTTCTCCGAGCATTGCCCAGTAACGCCCAGTCTCAACCCAGCACGCTGGTCACCACAGATTTGCGTTTCGGGCAGGCAAACGTATTCGCGTCCACGCCTTATACTTCTGCCTTTGGAGAAGAGCACGCAAGGTTACTGGACCAGAGAAAACATCCCTGTCTCAAAACCCACATCACGTTTCCCTGAATACATCCAAGTTGCCACAAACTGAAACGAGAGGGCTAAACACCAAAGTTCAGCCGCTCTTTCCCAGACCCGGGCAATCAACTCACCCTTACGAATCTCGATTCCTCCCAACACCATAAATCTACCTGCCAGGCAGCAGACTCGCAGGAAGCCACGGAGACTGGTATACTCTTGCTGCCTCGTACCTTGTTTCTCTCTTCGCTTGCAGCCGCGTCACGCCTAACCCCATCACGTTTTCTTTTGCAGAACGGGACGCTTGCTACCCCTTTTTACCCTGCTGGATGTAACAAGCGTTAGGAGCGTCTCTGGATAACAGGCAGCAAGCTGAGCAGGGCCCGAGCGGCAAACATGCGTGCCGCACAGCCAACATCTCCTCAACCTTCCTTCCAAACAGGGAAGGAAAACAGGAAAAAAAAAATCCCAGATCAATTACTTGTCAAAAAAGAGCAGAGAAAGCCAAAACCAACTGCCACTTGTTTCCTGAAGAATTAGTAAACGTTACTCGCACGATCACGCCGTGTCCATCGCTTTCCTTCTATCCTTGTTCCTCTAATACCTTGCAAATCCAGTGCCCACGCTGCTGCGCGCTTTGGAAAAGCTAAGCGGGGGAGTCAGAGAGCAGAGACCCACGTTACCCCTTTTTCCCCCCAAAGGAACGGGGCACAGGAACAGCGCTAGCGCGTACGCCATTTTGCAAAGGTCTGCTGGCCGGCCAGCGCGCGCAGCACCAGTCTGGGACGCTCCCGGGCGCGCGTTTCGCTGGGGACAACAACGGACGCGGCTCCAGCAGAAGCAGAGCTGCTTCTGCTCTTTGGCGCTTGCTTACTTCTGCGCTTGCTGACTGCACAACTTGTGAGCTCGGCATAAACCAGCCTTTTATAACAGAGGTGCCATGCGTTGCTATGCACCATTTTCGCTCGATTGGCAGATCGAGGACCCATTCAATTACCCTAAGAAATGAAAAAGGGAGTTGTTTGGGACCTTTTTTTTTTTTTTTTTTTTTTGCCAGACTTGTTTAGCTGTTCGAGTTCTTATACACGAATCTACTTTCAGCCTGCAGCATCCTTCCTTACAGCTCGCTTGTTGCAACAGTATATTCATCTCTTTTTAATATTACAGTAGTAAAAAAAAAATCCCCATGGCATTTTATCTATTCGTTTCCTACTTCTTGAGGATTATAAAAAACGAAGGTTTCAATTTTTTTTAATTACAAAACAGGAGTTTTCTAAATCTTGATTTATAAAACACGTGAAAGCTTCTTACTAACCCTGCACAACAGACGCTTTCAGAAAATACCTGTGTACAATCAATACAAATAATCAGCTATACGTTATTAAGTTACAACCTGACTGTTATGAAAATAACGGCATCACAATAAATACACAGCTATCAGACCGTCCGTGACTCAGACTTAACCCACTACCTATAGGACAGATAGGGCATTAACCATTGCATTTTACAATGGCACAGCCAAAAATCGAAACGCAGGAAAAAAAAAAATCCCAGCGTAACCCTCCATCTGAACAGCTCTGTATCTGTTTTTTCCAAGAAGAGCTGTGAAACGGTACACATAGGACACAGGAAAAACCTTCACTGAAGTCAAAACCAATTCTTAGCAATTTCAGTCATTTAAATTCAGCCCATTTTCAGAAGGTTCGATTTTACGTAACGACACGTCTCTTTCAAAACGATGACAAATTCCTAAGGGAAAGCCGGTCGTTACCAAAGCAGCGTGAAGCTTTAAGGATGCACGTAACGAGGTATAACGCGACTTATCTGTACTGCAAGACCATTCAGCACAACTCCAGCCTTGGCATTTTCCATCTTTTTCTAGCCTTAACAGTTTTTCTCACAGTTTAAGAATGGACTGCTACAAAGTAAGCTTGTATTTGCCACTCAGTTTCTTTCACAGTCCTTGGAGGGGAAAAAAAAAAAAAAAAACCCACTTTCCTCCCTTCCCCTCTCCCCTGGAGCCTTCAAACCACAGCTTGAAAGCCTCCGTGGTAGGAGAACGGCCAAAATGTTAGATAACCAACAAAGTAAACTTACAGTAATTCCATACTAAGAGACCAGAAACAAACCCAGGAGCAAATCACCAAGACAATTCTCCAAACGTGTGAGCATCTGACAAAGGTATTTGGCAGGCAGAACGCCTTCCCCTCATTTAAAGGGGTATGTAAATGCCACCGGCACGGTCCTCCGGCCCACGCTCGCCTCAGACGTTAGGTCAACAGCGTGAGAATCCCACGTTCCTCTCTAAATTTCCTTAGGGCCGCGCATAAAAAGGTTGAACACGGACCTCCGAAATCCTCAGGTTCGACAGCTCACTTCCAAGGACGCGGGTTCTCTACGCGCATGCCGCTAAGTATGTTTTTGCCCGCAGCTTAAAGTCAAGGCTTCGCGTAGCTCTGTCTTACCTCTCAAATCACGTCCTCTCGCCACCTTTCAACAGTCCAACAGCGTTACGCAGCTGCACGCCTAGCAGCGTTTAAGGAATCGCGCTGGATCCACTTTTTGCTCTTGCGAAGAGAGCAGCAATGCAAACGCAAAGCTGCAAACGCGAAAGCGTGCAAGAAAAACGGCTTGCACGTAGCAAGGATCCACACCAAGCCCGTTCCACCTGCGCGACGGGAACGGAGCAGCGTTAGACGCAGAGATTTAGTAATCCGAGTGTTCGCTCACGGCACGTTAAGTCTGTGCCAACGCTCTTTCCTCACCCCCTTTCTTCTACTAGAGGGGAAGTAATGTTCTTGCAGCCAAGAAGCTCTGAAACCTTGAGGACAAGGCGCATACGTTTCGAGAACGCTGTAGGACAGGGACTCCATCGTTAAGCACAAACCTAGCATCTTTACATTTCTGCATTAGCGTTATTTAATTCTGAAGGTTCACGTTTTCAACTTTTTTTTTTTATTGTTTAGACAAGCGTTTTTCTCTCTTCTCAGCTGCCGTATAATCAGCCACTACTCCAACATCCCTTCCATAACAGCTACACCATTAATTTTACTGATTTTTAATAACCTCTCAAACTGTCACCAACTGAAAGATCTCATTCAAACTCTTAAGAACGGTCACTAGAGAGCAGAGGTAAAACGTTACAATAAGTGAATCCAGCCAGAAACTGGTTTGGATGTAAAATTAAGCCCAAGAAATACGCTTCATTTGATTGCTAACATAACTTTGAACAGTAAGTACTCAGTTTTCAGTTCAGTTATGGAAGGACAGGATCTGAAATGTATTCATTAAACCTATAATCCAATAATTAAAGCTATTCGGGCCTAACTAAAATGAAAATTATTTCCACGAGAACACGTAGCGTCGTAGGAAGTCAAATATGAATCACATTACGCAGCTTGGCTCCAGCTGTACAAGTTTGTTTTTAAGCTGAGATTAAACGCTCTATTTACGCAATTAATATTTCTATAAAACTGCATTAGGAAAATATGGCAGTTGCCTGACTAAGCAGACAGAACAGGAAATACAATAGGTACGGCTGACTTTGCAACTGCCTCCTCGCACGCCAGCACGGTAACAATCGCATACCAGGTCTGACACAATACACACCTTCGACTTTAACCTTCCTGTAATCTTACCATCAGACCTGCACAGACGGACCTTTGTGCCGGTGCTCTGAAGCCATCGAGCAGAAAAGCCCTCTGATCCCATGGCGCTGTACAGGAGGAGGCCAAACTCGGCGAGGCACTCGCACTGTTCCAGCAGTTCTTTTACAACCGACAGCATCGATTTAGCTGTGACTACACCCATCACCCATAAACTTTCTCTAGCAACAGCAGCGCTGGCGACTTCGCATCAGGGTATGATTCCAAGCGCCAGGCAACTACCTACAAAACTCCCTGAACAAATTTTGGTGCAGCAAGGTTTACATTTCTCTATCGGACAAACAGGATGTCACGGCGCAGCTGTGTTACCGGATGCGTTTCACTGCCACAAACTTCTTTGTCCAGTAGACAGAGGCTAATGGTTATGGCAAAGCTCATGTAAGTGTAATGTTCTAAACCGGATGGAATATTTTATAGTAAAGGGTGATGGCATAACGCAAATCACCATGGAAAGAGAATTAAATTCCACGCCAGAACTCAAGTCAATAAACGCTGGCACTGAATTCAAAGACTTCATCAGAACCCCTCAACCGATCAATAGTTTTACGGGATTTCTTCGCCAACCCAGCTCTACCCAACGGTAGAAAGACAAACTGCGTTTTCCCTTTAGGAAGTCCAGAGGTTTCCTGGCTACCAAAAACCCTGCCATGCAAGGGAAGTTGCAGCTTGCTAACACCTGACCGGACTTTTTTAAAACATTTTATCCTAGAAGGCTAAAGGGCCGGGGGCAGCTTTTCTTCTGCATACCGTATGATCCGCGTACCTGAGGAAGGCACCTTGATTCACTCCATTTCCACGTCTTCCCAAATAAGCCTAAGCGTGCAGCACGGCCTCCGTCCCGGCGCTTGGGACGCACAGAAGTGCGCCATTCCCACTTATCATGAAATGCAGCCCCCCCCCCCCCAACACACACTCAATCGAAACAGATGTTCTTTGGAATAAAACTACTCATTACTTTTCAGCGATGCCAATTTCTACGCAAAGGTTGATGCTATGCGTTTTGGCTGTGGGGCTAATCATAAAAAAAATAACAATAATAATCCACGAAATCCAATAAATACTTTTTCCATTCTCGCATTCAAGGACAGCTGAACTGCTCAGAGCCCAAAGTTTATAAAGGCTAAAGTAAAGAGGGAGATCAAACTCGGGAAGGTCCGGATTGAAATTCGCCACTTCCAAACAAGACCCAAGAAACGGGGGTAAAAACGGGTAAAAATTTTGCCAGCTTCCCAGCACTACCGCATAAGCACTTCTACCGAAGGCTATTCAAAACACTAGGAGTTACCATTAAAATATTTGATGGTAACACCTCTTTGTACATATGCTAAGCAGCGAGCCCGTGCCTTTTCACGCATTTCAGTGACTTGGCTTTACCTAGGGGGCTGAAGTTCTTACAATACTCTGCCCAGTATACGCTTTACACAGTAAAAGGTCAACAGGCACGAGCGGGGTCTGTCCTAAACACGCGGCACTTAGTTCCGGTTTGCTTCGCAAAAATACGCCTTGCCAGGTAGAAACGTGACAGATTTCAACACCCAAATGGAAGAAACTTATGAACTCGGAGAAATTAAGTTAAAAAGTTATAGAGTTATAAGAATAAAGGCTGCCTGCAAGTTTTTAGATGCAAACGCCTGCAAATAAGAACTGAAAAGCTCCAGCAGAAAAGGTGAATTTATTTGTGGGGGTACATAACCTCGTCCCTAGCTGTTTTATCCCCCGCGAGGATTCTGCACTGGCTGATCAAAAGCAACACCACATAAAGTTCCTTTTTTTTTTTGCTTCCCCCCTTTCTTCTTTGTCTTTTTGGAACTGTTGCAGACGGAGTTACTGGGGAAGGAGGAAAGCCTTCCACTTGTCTATGAGAAGCTGCTAAACGGATGCACAGGGTTCGCGCAGCTCGCATTCGCATCCTTGCCACAACACCCGGCAACTAGTGCCTCCTCGTTTAGATCCAGCAAGCCACTGCCCTCTCTCCCCCTCCAAAACATCCCTCGCTCATCCCTGAAGCCGTAAGCGTAAGAAATCCGCCACCCACCGAACACAGACAGGCTAGACCAGAACGAGCGTAACTATTTGAACGCTCTTATTGCCACACACCTTTCGCATGTCTCCTGAGGGCCAACACCTGCAACGCCACAGCCACCGAGGCAGTTGTGAACCCGGCGTTCACGAGCTGTTTAGGACTATTGCCTGCTAAGAGTTGTCAAACTACTGTGTACCGTGGTCTCAACTTTTCACAGTTGAAAGCAATACCCTAGTGGTTATTTGGAAGAATAAGTTTCTGCACGTTGGGCACATGCGAACGTCATCGGCAGCTTATCGCGGTCCCGCAGTCTTAAGAAAGATCTTGGAAAGAAACTGCAAGTCACCAAGCAGCCAAGCTTTTTTTAAAAGGAAGATCCAACAGATGTTTGGCTTCCTTCGTGGGAAAGCCCTGATTTTCTGGAAGGAACGCAACAGTACGAATAAGTAATTCGGCCCTTACCTTTACCGGCTGCTTTATCTGTGCACCTGAAAAAGTATAAAAGGTAAACATAAGACAGAGCTTCTATAGTCCGGCAGCAGAAACAAAACACTGAGTTATTCACGTGTGGAGAACGAGCCCTAATTTCACACTGCGGGCACAGGCCTGTTTCCTCATTCTCAAAGCGCTGGCTCCGAAACCTTTTATCGGCCTGGGTCATTTCACCCAGAAGAAGCTGTAAGCAGCCGATGCACGATAACACACCAGCAAAAAAACCGAGCCTTACCGGCGCGGGTCATCGGAGGGCCTTTGTCGTTTTAACGACCCAGAAGAGCTATCCTACGGGGAGCGCACACGCGCGGGCGCCTAGCTCCCTTCTCCAGGGATAAAACCGCCTCGAGCCGGGGCTCCCCACGGGACGACGAGCCCAGCGGCATCCTTCCGGCGCCG